CAGGGTGTGAATTCTATACTAGGACAAACACGACAAATCAACGACAAGAAATCAAATGTAATAAGCACTAGGGCTAGGATCCACATGTAGTCATAATGGAATCAACTAATTGGGAGGTCAAATTGGCTAAGTCAAGAAATGTGAGGGAAGATCAATCATGCAACCAATAGAGCATATCAAGCTATTCTCCTAGAGGTCTAACTAGCGTCAACTACGATAAACTCTAGCTAGGAAACATCACAAGACACCTCAATCATGTAAATGCAAGCCACAAATCAATGGTCCGTATCAATGTGAATTTACAATGCAATCTAGTGTAACAATCAAAGTTAGCTACTCTTTAATTAATCACACAATGCACATGATCATCAACCAAATTTAATCACATCATCAACTCCATCAATATTTCGCAATTAGCACTAATCCATTGCTCATACATGCTTCACTATTACCTTAGCAAGTAATCTACTCACTAGCCATTGAAATTAAGATCAAAACAACACTAATCAACAAATTCATCATGATCAAATCAAATAACCTAAAAACAAACACAAATCAATCAAACCTCAATCAAACTTGAACATTCAACAAATCAATTGAAATCAAACTAAAGATTGAATTAAAGAAAAGGAAATCTTACAAACTTGATCAAAGATCAAAGGAAATGGAGAAAGCTTCAATCATCAACAATCCAACATGAAATTCTCTCTCTATAAACCTAGATTTTCTCTCTCTAAAAATCTAACCTAAACTAATTCTGATTCTATTCTAATCATTCTCCCCTTAAAAATAGAAGGAAAAGCTATATATAGGAAAGCTACAAAAGAAGAGTTAGTTAGATCGTCCAAAAGAAACCCGGAAGGTGCAGTCGCATCAAGGAAGAGGCGCGGCCACGGGAAAATGGGTACGGAACAGGGGCAAGAGGAGGTCCGCCCGCACCCGCACATGGCGCGCCTGTACCTTCATATGGCGCGCTCGCACCACCCAGGTGCGCGGCCTTACCTGGCAGCATGGCACTTTCTCTCTTTCTTCGTCCTAGCTCATCCTTGTGCGCTCGTCTTGGTGATGATGATGAATACTAAGGTAGGAAGTCATGAAATGGATATTTTGGTGGGTTCATGGCAAAGATAATGCCCCCACTGCATGCTGCACCGATCTCTTAACTTGCTCCTTGTATTCCTTCAAACTTTAAGCTCCAATAGACGAAAATGAGGCATCAAAATCGATGAGAAATATGATAGGAAGGCTAGGGAATCCTTGGAAACACGATCATAACCTGAAAACAATCGAAAACAAGCAAATAAAAGGGAAAAAGAACAAATAAACAAAGAAATGCACAAAGAAAGAAAACTAAATAAGGAAAGCACAAACTAAAGGAATAAAGAACAAAACTAAGGAAAACTAAGGAAAAGAGCTATAAAATTGCATGAAAATCGTCCTAAAAGATGCCAAATGAGTGCCATAAATGATACCTATCAAATTCCCCCAAGCTAAAATTTTGCTCGTCCTCAAGCAAAACAAAGCAAGAAAGGATAAAGATGAAAGAATTATTCAAAAAGATAAAGAAAGACCCAAGATGAAAACGTGCACTAAGACTCACTGTCGTAGGAATCACGGTTGCTTTTAGCTACAACAAGCCGTTTAAACCCAAAAGTCGCCTATGAGGACGAGTGAGGTCTCGAAAGGGTGTCCTAAGAGTTTACCCATAACTCTCCCCCAACGTCAAAGACGCAAAACCAAAAAAGAAAAGAAAATGGAAAAGGAAAACAAAACCTTTGCGAAATGGACTTACAAAGAGACTACAATGCAAATGAATGAAAATCTTTCTCAAGTAGTCAAGCTATGCACTTTTCAAGATATCCAAGGTTGATTGAAACATAGAGTATGCTAAGCATAGGAACTAGATATCACAATCCACGTTCATCCCAAACATTCTTACCGCATTCTCCCCACTAGTCTCAAATCTCTCCTTAGTGAGCATCCCAATGATTCCTCGAAGGAACCGAAAAAAGAGATTTATTTAGGCTACTCGACATCTTGACTGTGCATTCCCTTTCCTTAGGCAATAACTCATGATTCCCTCCCCCGAATAATGACTCAACTTCTAGGTGAAAAGGGCTTTCCCAAAGGTTGTAACGTAAGGGCATAAAGGGTGAAGGTAGGCTAAAATTTGAAATTTGTTGGTTTTCCTAATAGTGAAGCAAAGAGCGGGCCCTTTCTTAGAATCACAATCAAGTAATCACCAATCCAAACAAAAATACGTACACCCCCAAGCTTATTCAAAGCTATAAATCACAAATATAAGTACTAAAAGCGTAAACGCCTCTCCCCGAAGCTTAAATGAAGCATTGTCCTCAATGCTTAGAAAGAGAAAAGAATACATCAAAATATTTTTGAATTTTTCACTTTTTCAATTTTTTTGTTTTTGTTTTTGTTTTTTTTTTGTTACGCTTTGCTTTGTCCTTGCTTTTTTCCAAATTCGGACGTTTTTTTCAATATTGCACTTATTTGTCCATGCCTTTTATAATGTAGGGCGGCTTTTACTCATACTCATTTTCCATTATTCACAAAGAAGATGAAATCACAAGCTTGCATCAATTTAACCACATATCCCAACTATATCACCACAACTCCGTCAAGAATGATCAATTGCTTCACAAAAATAAGAAAAGAAAGAAAATGAAACAAAGGCCAAAGATCTAAAGATGTGGCTTGAAAAGAAGGAAATAGGCTCAAGTGGTTGCAAGAGGGCAAATGTAAACCCAAAAACAAAGATGAAACAAAATATCTTAGAAATGAAAAATACCACCCCTAAAAAGGTGCCTTTGTCTTCCCTAGATAGCTCGGTCTCGGGTTTAAGAATCATAAATCAAGCTTTATAGATTAAATTTGCAATAGTCAAGGATCCATGCCGCTCATACAAGATAGGTTGAAGGCTTGAAAAAAGATGAAACTCACATGGATGTAGCAAAAACTCACTAGTGGTGTCAAATCGACCATAGGGAGCAACTACCAACATGCCACAAACAAGTAGAATCTGGCTTCATGATCCTCCTAGTTCAAAGCAACTATCCTAGAATACACCTATCCTAGAGTCAACCAAGCATAGTCTCAAACTGTGCATTCCCTTACTACCTAGGAAGAAAATCATTCAAAAGACAAAGTCCAATGTACAAAGTCCAATTCATAAGGAAAGCAAAAAGGGGTGAAAAACAAGCCTCAAAAGCATACCACAAACCAAAACAAGAACAAAGGAAAAATAAAAGAAAAGAAAAATAAAAGGAAAGAAAAGAAAAGGATAGTCATAGACAAAGGAATAATAGGAAAAATGGAGAAAGGAACTAGAAAGCGAGTTAAGCACATATATCCCAATCGACATACAAGTGATCCAATGACAACATCGTCAACGATCCTAAACACGTTACGTGTTAACAAGCAATCATCCTCGAACCGTTCAACTTCCCCTAAACTAAACCTAATCTATGCATCCAAAAAAAATAAAGAGAAAAATTAGAAAGGTCTCACCGGGCTATCCATTCTTAGCATAATAAACAAAGGCGATGGAAAAGAACCACCTTCGTAGCGCTCCAAAATCGTAAGCATCATCAAAAATCCATGTGAGAACAAGAAAAATAAAAGAAGCTATAAACAAAGGAAAAGGTTAGTAACTACAAAAAAAAAGAAAAGAAAAGGAAACCACAAAGGAACACTAAACTAAACTAACAAAGAGTTAAAAAGAAAGAAAAGAAAAACTAAGTAACCAATTAAACTACAAGCTAACTAACAGACACTTAGACTACAAAATTTGGATTCAAAAGGACTTGGTGTAGTTTTGGGAGTTTGAGGATGATGGGGGTCGAAGGTAGAAGGAGGAAATAAAGGGAAATGAAAGAAGAAATAAGTAAGGGGAAGATAAGGGGGCATGGCAGGGGGTGCGGCCGCACCATTCCTTGGCGCGCCCGCACCAGCCAAGTGCGCGGCCGGACTATATGCGTGCGCACCCGCACCTGGCCTTGCCCTATTTCTCTTTTTTTCTTTTTTTTTTTAAATCTTTGGTGCGTTCATTGGTGGGTACACAAATAATGATGATGATAAACAACAACACAGGCAGCAGCAAAACCCCATTTTAGTGGGTTCAAAATCCCAAAATAATGGTAGCACCACATGAACACACCAAAAACAAACTTCCTACAACTTTTAAAGCACAAAATTTTCTATCTTACCTCACTAAAATTCTTACCCTTTTTCCTCAAATTTCGATGATATCGAGTGTAATCACATCAAAAACCGCAAAACACCTTCTCATTCCTCATGCTCACCTGATGAAATCTAATCCCAAGAATCCAACCTACAAATCCAAACAAGTAGAAAAGTGAAAGAAAAGAAACTAAAAGAAGGGAAAATAAGAAAATTCAAAATTAAAAAGAAAAGTTAGAGATCTCCGGGTTGTCTCCCGGGAAGCGCTTGCTTATGGTCCTAAGCTCGACCCTTCCTCCAAATCATGGAGGGTCAAAGAACACCACCTTCTTCAAAGTGGCGGAAAGAGCAAATTTCTCCTCAACTTCTAGCAACTTCTAGTTGTTGCTTGATGAGACATCATTCAATAACTCCTCAAAAGCAAGCTTTTCTTTCCATAATCTCATTCTCTTTCTCTTTTTCCTAGAAGCTCGTGGTCTTTTCTTTGCCTTGTTCCTCTTAGTAAATGGTTTCACACCATCAACACTCTTGGGGTCATCGTCCTCCTCTTGAGGGTAGAGCTCAAACCAATGAGGAATGTCAATTTCCTTCTCGTCCATAAGCTTGGGAAGCTTCGTTTTCTCTTCACCAAACTTCTTGCAATCACAACTCAAAAAGCACATCATCACAATTCTCAAGAACATTGTTAGTTGAAGAATCAATCATGCATACAATATCAATAAGGCGAGGGAATTAACACACATAATTCTTTTCACAAGAGACAAAGACTCATGCGTTTGATTTAGCTCAAAAATTTCACCATTCTAACCAACTTTCAAGGTAATACGACCTCCCTTAACATCTGTTAAGGCTCCCGAGGTGGCTAAGAAAGGTCTTCCTAAGATGATAGGAATATGGTCATCTTCCGCAATCTCAAGCACAATGAAATCAACGGGAATGGTGAACTCTCCTGTTTTTAGAGGAACATCCTCAACTCTCCCCTTTGGAAACTTAATAGACCGATCGGCCAATTGAAGGGTTATGTTGGATGGAAGGAGCTCACCTAGCTTAAATTTCTTGTAAACGGAATAAGGCATAATGCTAACACTAGCACCAAGATCACAAAGAGCATTGTGGAACAATTTTCCTTTGATTTTGCAAGGTACAGAGAAGTTTCCGGGATCTTTCAACTTTAAGGGTAAGTCATTATGAATAATGGCACTAAAACACTTCCCCAAATTCACCAGTTCCACCATATTGCAATCTCTCTTACCGCTCAAAATTTCCTTAAGAAACTTAGCATAGTTTGGCATTTCTTTTACCACATTGGTGAAAGGAAGAGTAAGATGAAGTTGCTTAAGCATCTCGATGAATTTCCCAAATTGCTCATCCAATTTATACCTATTGTGCTTTTGGGGGTAAGGATGTCTAGGTTTGTAAACCTCATCTTGCTTCCGCTCTTTCTCCTTAGGCTTATCATTGTAATCCTCACTCATCTTGCTAGGCTCTTCATGCTTATTCCCTTCACTTGAATTACTCTCCTTTTCACTCTCCTTACTCTTCCTAGGAACACTCTCTTTAAGGACCTTACCACTCCTAGTGGTCATAGCACACATCGGTTCGCTAGAGTCAACTTCTTGTGAGGATAAAGAAACAGGACTAGCACAATCTCTCAAAGGGATGGCTAGTTTATTAATTTGGTTCTCAAGCATATTTCCATGAGTAAATAGGACCCAAAACATTTTGTTACAAGATAATGTGAATTCATTCAACTTCTCAGATTGAGCCATCATGAAATTCTCTAGCCTATGCAATTGGGATTGTTGAGAATAGAAATCATCACCTTGGCTTTGAGTCGTTGGAGTAATTTGGGGTGGGGTACCTCTTTGAACATCATTTTGAAAATCTCCCCTACTTTGATTACTCCAATTACCCTTACCATGATTTTGGCCGGAATTTTGATTATGGTTACCATAACCTTGGTTATGATCCCCATATTCTTGGCCATGGCTTTGATCATTACAACAAAAGTTATTATGGTTATCACAAAATTCTTGGGTCACATGGTTACCATAACCACTATTTTAGTTATAATTATCATAGCTCCCATGATTGTGACAATTCCTACTCCCAACATTCTTTTGAGCATTAAATCTAGGTCCATGATCATTATTATCAACACAATTCACACGCACATTCTTATATCCATCACAAGGAACATTAGAGCAATTAGAAGCATTATGATCATTCTTTCCACATAAATCACAAACTAAGGATTCTCTTATCATGCAACAAGAAGCAAAAGGAGGGTTAGAGTAGGAAGATGTACCTCTCCCCTTAAATTGGGAAGGAAGATTTTGATCTTGTGAAGGACTTTCAAGCTTGGTCTTGAGAGAAATTATCTGCTTTCCTAACTCCGAGACTAATGTGGACAAATTGTTAACGACATTAGATTGATCGATTGAGCCACTTGTGCTTGTCGATTCCCTCTCTACATCATGCCATTCCATGTAGTTCCTTACACATCATCTATTACATCCACAACCTCTTCTTCCGTTTTGTTCATAATTGGCCTTCCAGCTCCAGCATCAAGGCTCGATCTACCTTGAGAGCTCAAACTACCATAGAAATTTTTTATGACTTGATAGTTTGGAATTCCGTGGTGAGGGCATTCCCTTTGGTAATCCTTGTACCTCTCCCATGCTTCATAGAGATTCTCTTTAGGCAATTGCTTGAAACATTGGATTAAGGCTCTAGCCTCCGCCGTCTTCTTTTGTGGGTCGAAGCAAGACAAGAAAGCCTTGGTAACTTCATCCCATGTCCTTAGGGACCTTGGTTTGACCTCCTTATCCAACCACTCTAAAGCTCTTCCAATAAGAGAGAAGGGAAACAACTTGAGCCTTATATATTCTTGAGCAACTCCAGCTACCATAATTGTATTACAATACTTCTCAAAATCCTTGAGATGGTTGAGAGGGTTTTCACTTTTTGTGCCACTATAATGTTTCCTCTCAATCAAGGTGATCATAGCCGGTTTGATTTCAAAATCACCATCCGGGATCAATAATGGAGCATTCCAACTCTCATACTTGTAAGCACCCGGCGTGCCCAACTCCTTCAACGTCACTCTATGAGTTTTTCCCATGTTAACTTGCACACAATCTCAAAAAAAATTATTAGTAGCACGGCTACAAGTGTAGCCTAAAGGAAAATCTTTTTGTGTTTTTTAATTAAGTGGAGTAGACTCAACAACAATATACAATCATGACACCATTTTGATGAGGGTTGAAGCGAGGTTGTTGAGGTTAACCCCTACCCAAGGTCAAACAATATTTATAAACACTCAACACACCCCTACTCAAGTATAACGGTAAGTTGAGGGTCGAACCCAAAGGAATGGTGGGCTATTGTCTATTATCTATTGTCAAGCTGTTCCGAAGTCTAAAGACAGGGTGTGAATTCTATACTAGGACAAACACGACAAATCAACGACAAGAAATCAAATGTAATAAGCACTAGGGCTAGGATCCACATGTAGTCATAATGGAATCAACTAATTAGGAGGTCAAATTGGCTAAGTCAAGCAATGTGAGGGAAGATCAATCATGCAACCAATAGAGCATATCAAGCTATTCTCCTAGAGGTCTAACTAGAATCAACTACGATAAACTCTAGCTAGGAAACATCACAAGACACCTCAATTGTGTAAATGCAAGCCAAAAATCAATGGTCCGTATCAATGTAAACTTACAGTGCAATCTAGTGCAACAATCAAAGTTAGCTACTCTTTAATTAACCACACACATGCATAAGATCATCAACCAAATTTAATCACAACATCAACTCCATCAATTTTTCCCAATTAGCACTAATCCATTACTCATACATGCTTCACCATTACCATAGCAAGTAATCTACTCACTAGCCATTGAAATTAAGATCAAAACAACACTAATCAACAAATTCATCATGATCAAATCAAATAACCCAAAAACAAACACAAATCAATCAAACCTCAATCAAACTTGAACATTCAAAAAATCAATTGAAATCAAACTAAATATTGAAATAAAGAAAAGGAAATCTTACAAACTTGATCAAAGATCAAAGGAAAATGGAGAATGTTTCAATCATCAACAATCCACCATGAAATTCTCTCTCTAAAAACCTTGAGTTACTCTCTATAAAAATCCAACCTAAACTAATTTTTATTCTATTCTAATCATTCTCCCCATAAAAATAGAAGGAAAAGCTATATATAGGAAAGCTACAAAAGAAGATTTAGTTAGGTTGTCCAAAATAAACCCCGGAAGGCGCGGTCGCATCAAGGAAGAGGGGTAAGAGGAGGTGCACCCGTACCCGCACATGGCGCGCCGCACCTGCATATGGCGCGGCCGCACCACCCAGGTGCGCGGCCGCACCTGGAAGCAGGGCACTTCCTCTCTTTCTTCGTCCTAGCTCATCCTCGTGCGCTCGTCTTGGTGATGATGATGAACACTAAAGTAGGCAGTCGTGAAATGGATATTTTGGTGGGTTCACGGCAAAGATAATGCCCCCACCGCACGCGTGCACCGACCTCTTAAATTGCTCCTTGTATTCCTTCAAACTATATGCTCCAAAAGACGAAAATGAGGCATCAAAATCGATGAGAAATGTGAGAGGATGGCTAGGGAATCCTTAGAAACACGATCATAACCTTTAAACAGACGAAAATAAGAAAATGAAAGGGAAAAAGAACAAATAAACAAAGAAATGCACAAAGAAAGAAAACTAACTAAGGAAAGCACAAACTAATGGAATAAAGAACAAAACTAAGGAAAACTAAGGAAAAGAGCTATAAAATAACATGAAAATCATCCTAAAAGAATCCAAATGAGTGCCATAAATGACACCCATCACTTTGTCACCCATGATTGGACTAATATGCGAATGTGGAAGATGATCTAGTAATGTGTGTCACGAGAAATTGAGCGTGTTCACTTAAACCTTTTCTGCCAAGCATTCAAACAATGAACCAAAGTCAAAATGATTGTTTTGCTTCTTTTTTTTAATCCTTGTAATACGAATTCACTTTAAGCGAGTTTGTTGATGAAGAATGTCACAAAAATTCACGAACAATCATGTCATGATTTGTGTTGACTTAAACAGGATAATCATCTATGGATTTGACTTTAAAAGAATTGTTTTCGAAAAAGGTAGAAGAGAAGTCAAGAAAGTTGGATTGAAAATGCTCATCAAATTTTCGGAATATTAATCAACCCGAACATACTCCTTAAAATGATCACTTATATTGCAATAGTGATTTTTTTCAATTATGATTCTCATATTTCTCATCTTTAAAGGATAATATTTTACTATTTGCTTAAAAAGAATGATGACCCCTGTATGTAAAATCCAAAAAAAAATTAAATCATTTTCTTGGTTTTATCATTCATTATCTTCTTTTTTTTTTTGAGAATAATATTTTTTTTGTATCATACTCTTTTTTTTATTACTTTTAAGAAAGACATTTCATTTTTTTTTTTGTGTGAGGCAATCATCCAAAGTAAAGTTTTCAGGATTTTCCTTTTAAACCATAGAAGAGGTAAATAAATTATACTCTTAAATCAAGGTTGACTAATTACAACTAAAAAAAATGATGAACACGAAAATAAGCACGTTTAAGAATAAACATATTGATGACGTCCTATTAAGAGATGCGAACTTCTAATGACGAGCCTCATAAGAAGTAATGTCATTAGCTTAATTATAAAGTACGTAAACGAATCATCATAAAAAAAAATAGTATCACGTGCAATTTTCCGTCTTGCGCTAAGGTGGAAAGCGCAACTTCAAGAGTAACATCTGCCACATGCAATTTTTTTTTCTTTTTTTTTTGCAAATACGCAAAAAGGACGATAAAAAACATTTGATTTTGTGAATATGAAAAAAGAGAAATAAAAAAAAAATTTCGTTTATTTTTCGAAAAAACGATCATAGTAAAAGTTAGACAACGTTGTTAGCCAAAGAGATATTTTTAGAACCTACTTAACGATTAACCTTAAAGTAGTAGTATCGTTTTTCTCCATATGATATTGCTCGTAACGAGTCAAAGTCAACGTTGAATAGTGGGCGCGCGCAAGACACAGTGTTGCGAGGAGGTGCCACGCGCAACTTCAATATATATATATATATATATATGTATATATATATATATTATATATATATATATATATATATACATATACATATATTTGTCGAAACATAATTTTTGCAATTTTTTTATGATATCTCTATGTAACAAGTTGGAATTAGTTAGATTAGACACGAATCACATATTCCTGTAGTCACATAAGCATATAAAAGGAACCGTCAAAGCATACAATGCCATTCTAAGGTCAAGGCTTGGGTGTCGAAAGGTACCATATCTTAAGAAACGATGCACAAATCAACCACTCAATGTATTGACTTATTATATCGCCCTCTCCACATTTTGTTGATGATATGGTGGGATGATTGTTATTGATTTCGGGATAGAAGCCTTGTGTTTGCAGCCCCTAATAAATGATCCAATCCCCAATGGTTAAAGTGTGCTATGCTTATGCATGATGCAATGTTGCTTGTTTGATTTTTACTTTTGTGAAAAAGGAAGATATTATGCGTTCGAGTCTCGCTCTGTAACTAGAGATTATCCAAGTTAGTTCTCGTTACAATCCATAGGGAACCTACTATTGGAAACTTTGAACCATAACTACGAACTAATCTTGTAACCTCTAAGTTCCCAGCGGATTCGCCACTGTAAGGAGGATGG